TTCTTTGTTGGAATCTTTGGAACTTGTCCATTAACTCTCTCTCATAATAAAAGGAAATGTGTCTTCTACACAAGGCACTTCTAAGCTCATTCCAATATTGGATTGAAGGCTCATGATGAATTTTTCTTCCCCTTTCAAGGGAAGCCCACCAATACATGACATACCCTTGAAAGCTAAGGGTAGCCATTGGAAATCTTCTCTCTTCACTCACATTGTGACATGTTAAGAGTTGTTTCACCTTCATCTCTCAATCCAAGTAATTCTCAACATTATTCTTTCTGTGAAAGAGAGGAAGGTCAACTCTAGGTTCCTTGTGAGAGTCATGCCTAGGCCTATGTTGCATAGGAGGTCTTTGATAGTAGTTATCATCATGGTGACTACTATAAAACTCTTCACTTGAGGTTGAATGAGTGTGTAAATGATGGCTCTTAGGCCGTGAACCTCCTTTAACATGTTTTCCTCTAGAAGGCTTGGAAGGTCCCTCACCATCTTGCCTTTTGGGCAATGAAGGCCCATTATCCTCATGGACTTTGGGCTTGCTAGCCTCACCACCCACCACTAGCTTGTTTAACAACTCTCTTATTGTTCCATTATTCTTTTTATTTTCTAATATAATCCCTAAGTTCATAGAGTTCATCTTTAGTACTCATATGACTTATTGGGGAATGATGACCATGCACACAACTATCATGAGAATGATCACTCATTTTTGCAGGAAAAGTTTTCCCAAGTTTTCAAAGGAATTGCAAAAATCAAGTGATAAAGATTTTCACAAAAGATTTTCTTTTTGGTGCAAGACTAAGTACTTGGAGGTATAAGTATACAAGTTGTACTATCAATGGAGGTGAGCTGCAATGAGCCACTTAATAACCAAGTCTTTTCAAGTAGAAATTACTAAACCTCTTTATACTTGTCTCATAAAATTTTTTTGCACACAAGTCAAGTAAATGTGTGTATGTGCACGAACCCCTAGTAGGCAAAAAAACCTTCTAAACGAACTTGGAACGTTCCTAATTACAATTAGAAAGTAAACTAACGAAAAAAGCAAATAAAGAAAGCAAGTTAAAGCATATACTAGTCGAATGTCCTAGGGTGGAAGTTGAAGTGACACTTAGAGCCCCTTAGAACACTTCCACAAGTACTAAACATTCTAAGAAAGCAAGTAAACTAGACGAGTCCTAGTGGAAGCCCAGATGACACTTAGAGCCCTTTGGGACACTTCCACAAGTACTAACAGATACTAGGTTTCAATTAGAAAACTTAGGAGTGGTGGGAGAACACAAACTATGTTTCCCAAGTCACCCCTAGTAAGTTTATACAATTTTAAAGCAAAGAATATAAAAGGTCCATCAACCAAATGAAACACAAATGAAATGAAAATCCAAGCAATTTGGTGACAGATTTTTGCAAAGGATTTTAGAGATAGATTTGCTTAGTGATGGAAAACTCCTTCTCTAGAGTAGTCTCTAATCCAATTAGAATTTTGTGTAATCATCTTCGACCTGCAAAAAGAGCAAACAAGTTAGCCACTCCAATGGTTGTCAATTAAAATAACCATCATATGAATGCAACCAATTTTTACCGAGTTCAAGGACAAAAACACAAATATAGGGTTTTAACAAGATCGCATACCTCTTACATCATTTGTGGACTAAAATAATCATGTAAATACAACCAATTTTTTACTAAGATCAGGGAGAAAGGCAAATATATAGGGCTTTCATGCCCTGTATTTTCTCCCGATGATTACAAAATGTATCTAGTATCAATTGTCTCAATTTTTTGACATTAAGATCAGGCATAAGAAGATCGTATACCTATTTCATCATTTGTCGACAAAAATAATGATCATGTAAATACAACCAAATTTTACCGAGATGAGGGACAGAGGCAACTATATAAGGCGTTCATGCCCCATATTTTCTCACGAAGAATATAAAATGTATCTAATAACAACCATGTCAATTTTTCGACATCAAGATAAGGCATAAAAGCATCGTATACCTCTTTCATCATTTGTCGACTAAAATAATCATTTAAATACAACGAATTTTTAGGAAGATGAGGGATAGAGGCAACTATATAGGGCTTCCATACCCAATAATTTCTCATGATGAAGACAAAATGTATCTAATAACAACCATCTCAATTTTTCAACATCAAGGTTTTGTCGACAAAAATAATCATCAAGTAAATACAAACAATTTTTATCGATATGAAGGAAAAAGACAAATTTATAGGACTTTCGTATCCTATATTTTTTTTCACGATAAATACAACATGCATCTAATAATAACCGTATCAATTTTTCGACATCAGGGTCAGGCATAAGAAGATCATATACCTTTTTCATCATTTGTAAACAAAAATAATTATCATGTAAATACGACCAATCTTTACCCAGATGAGGGACAAAGGCAAATATATAGGACTTTCATGCCCTATATTTTTTCACGATGAATATAACATGTATCTAATAATAACCGTCTCAATTTTTTGACATCAAGATCAGGCATAAGAAGATCGTATACCTCTTTCATCATTTGTCGAAAAAAATAATCATTTTGTATATACAACCAAGTTTTACCGAGATGAGGAACAAAGGCAATATATAGGACTTTCATACCCTATATTTTTTCATGATGAATACAACATGCATCTAACAATAACCATTTCAATTTTTTGACATCAGGACCAGACATAAGAAGTTCGTATACCTCTTGCATCATTTGTCGAAAAAAATAATCATCATGTAAATACAACCAAATTTTACCAAGATGAGTGACAAAGGCAAATATAAAAGACTTTCATGCCCAATATTTTTTCACGATGAATACAACATGCATCTAATAATAACCATATCAATTTTTTGACATCAGGATCAGGCATAAGAAGATCATATACCTCTTTCATCATTTGTCAAAAGAAATAATCATCATGTAAATACAACCAAATTTTACCAAGATGAGTGACAAAGGCAAATATAAAAGACTTTCATGCCCAATATTTTTTCACGATGAATATAACATGCATCTAATAATAACCGTATCAATTTTTTGACATCAAGATCAGGCATAAGAAGATCATATACCTCTTTCATCATTTGTCAAAAGAAATAATCATCATGTAAATACAACCAAGTTTTACCGAGATGAGAGACAAAGGCAATATATAGGACTTTCATACCCTATATTTTTTCACGATGAATACAATATGCATCTAATAATAGTCGTCTCAAATTTTTGACATCAGGATCAAGCATAAGAAGATCGTATACCTCTTTCATTATTTGTCGAAAAAAATAATCATCATGTAAATACAATCAATCTATACCGAGATGAGGGACAAAGGCAAATATATAGGACTTTCATGCCCTATATTTTTTCACGATGAATACAACATGTATCTAATAATAACCGTCTCAATTTTTTGACATCAGGATCAGACATAAGAAGATCGTTAACTCTTTCATCATTTGTCGAAAAAAATAATCATCATGTAAATACAACCAATTTTTACCGAGATGAGGGACAAGCAAATATATAGGACTTTGATGCACTATATTTTTTAAGATGAATACAACATGCATCTAATAATAACCGTCTCCATTTTTCGACATCAGGATCAGGCGTAAGAAGATCGTATACCTCTTTCATCATTTGTCGAAAAAAAAATCATGTACATACAACCAAGTTTTACCGAGATGAGGGACAAAGGCAATATATAGGACTTTGATGCACTATATTTTTTAAGATGAATACAACATGCATCTAATAATAACCGTCTCCATTTTTCGACATCAGGATCAGGCATAAAAAGATCGTATACCTCTTTCATCATTTGTCGAAAAAAATAATCATAATGTAAATACAACCAATTTTTACCGAGATGATGGACAGGCAAATATGCAAGACTTTCATGCCCTATATTTTTTCATGATGAATACAACATGCATCTAATAATAACCGTCTCAATTTTTCGACATCAAGATCAGGCATAAGAAGATCATATACCTCTTTCATCATTTGTCGAAAAGAATAATCATCATGTACATACAATCAAGTTTTACCGAGATGAGGGACAAAGGCAATATATAGGACTTTTCTAACCTATACTTTTTCATGATGAATACAACATGCACCTAATAATAATCTTATCAATTTTTTGACATGAGGATGAGACAAAAGAAGATCGTATAGCTCTTTCATCAATTGTCAAAAAAAATAATCATGTAAATACAACCAAGTTTTACCGAGATGAGGGACAAAGGCAAATATAAAGGACTTTCGTGCCCTATATTTTTTCATGGTGAATACAACTTGCATCTAATAATAATCGTCTCAATTTTTCGACATCAGGATCAGGCATAAGAAGATCGTATACCTCTTTCATCATTTGTCGAAAAAAATAATCATCATGTAAATACAACTAATTTTTTTCGACATGAGGGACAGGCAAATATATAGGACTTTCATGCCCTATATTTTTTCACGATGAATACAACATGCATCTAATAATAACCATCTCAATTTTTCGACATCAGGACCAGGCATAAGAAGATCGTATACCTCTATTATCATTTGTCAAAAAAATAATAATGTAAATACAACCAAGTTTTACCGGGATGAGGACAAAGGCAATATATACGACTTTTATGACCTATACTTTTTCAAGATAAATACAACATGCATCTAATAATAACCGTCTCAATTTTTTGACATCAAGGTCAGGGATAAGAAGATCGTATAGTACCAATGTTGTTAAAATCGAGATTCTACTTAGGATCGGAAAGAGAGTGAAACATCGTAACTCGAGAATCGTAACTCGGATCATAAGATCTTACATTCCTACTCAAGTTATTAAACATATAATACCTAAATTTTAAATAGAAAATATATATGAAAAAGTTTGACGACTCCTAATAGAATTAGAAAGTTCATAAGTCACAAGACTTAATAACTAAAAACATAACAATTATAAATTCATATAAATCTTGCATTCTAGTCATTTAGGAGAGCATAAATTTTTTCTTGACAACCATCATCTATGTTATCTTCATTCTCATTAATGGCATTAGCATCTCCCACCACTTCAACTCCAATTAATTCATACTCTTCAATAGGAGGAACATCCAAATCGTCCACAAGTGCATCACCACCCCCACTAGTTCCAATATCTTGTCCAACTTCAAGTATGTCTTCATTCAAGGAATTCAAATCTGAAATTTGATCATTTTCCTCCACAATCCAATCATCATCGGAAGAAAGGTCTTCAATACCATAGTTTTTTTCTTTTCTAACTCGCTTCTTGTTCAATTTGGAATTTGCCATGACATAAACTACATCATTCATGGTCTTTTGCAACAAACGATTTCTTTTCTTGGTATGGACCTAAATGAAAAATCAATTATCATATAATAGGAAAAAGGAAATGAAATACATTATATATATACAGATATACCATTTTAAATTAGAATTTTTACCCTTTCAAAGACACTCCAGTTGCGCTCACAGCCGGATGAACTACATGTTAAACTCAAAACCCGAATTGCAAATTGTTGCAATTCTAGATGTTTATCTCCATAAGATTCCCACCAATCTGCTGGACTTTTGGTATTAAGAGCACGTTGAGCTATAGGATGACCAAAAAGGTCTTTTTTTTTCTTAAAATCTTGAAGTTGATCATCAATTTTTCCTATTATTTCAAAGTCTCCAACAATCTTTTCCATGCAATCAATGAATCCTCTCTTAACTTCCCAATCAACCTTGAAATTAGGAGCATAATGTAGTATAGGATTAAGGTAGTAACCTGCAGCATGCAAAGGCCTATGTAATTGTTTGTCCCATCTTTGATCAATAATTTCCCATAAGGGAATGTAGCTACAATTGAAAAAAAAATAGTTTTCAACTAAAGTATTAAGTTTATAATTTATAAAATGAAGCAAATAGAATAGAAGATAATTACCTACTCTCATCTCCTCTAAAAGCATCTTGTATCTTTTCTTTAGCTCGATCCATTTCTTCATAAATGAACCCCATGGCTGGCTTTTCATCTGAATCCACTAAGCGCAAAACTTTAACCAAGGGAAAAGCACCTCTCATACAATTCATAGCATTTTTCCAAAACCCCTTATCTGTAACCAAATTCTCTATAAACTTTCCATCCTTGGTCTTTGCTAATTGACTAGAACTCCATTCTTCAGATGTAAACATTCTAGTTAATGGACCCTTATTCTCATTCAAGCATCCCAAGGTTAAGTAGGAAGTAGCAAAACGAGTCAAGCCAGGTCTAATCAAGTCACCCCCCTTAGTAAATTTATGCAATAAAGCAATAAGACTTGTTCTACCATAGATGTATGACGTGATCCTTCTACCACTTGCAATTGTTTCACTATGAAGTGGTATCTTTTTCTCAAAATCTTCAAGCATTAAGTCAATGCAATGAGCTGCACAAGGTGTCCAATACAACTTAGTCCTTTTCTTCATCAACATTTCCCCAGCTGCCTTGTAATTTGCTGCATTGTCTGTGACAATATGAACAACATTTTCTTCCCCAACCTCTTCAACTACATCATCTAACATCTTGAAAATTTTGTCAGCTGTCTTGCATATCTTGGATGCATCAATAGACTTCAAAAAAATTGTTCCAAGTGGACTATTTACTAAAAAATTTAATATAGTCCTCCTCCTCCTATCTGTCCATCCATCTGTCATTATTGTGCATCCAAATTTTTTCCAATAAGTTTTATGATCATCTAAAGAAAGATTGGTCATTTCGACATGATACTTTAAGTATTTTACCCTAATCTCATGGTAGGATGGTGGGTCAAATCCTGGACCGTGTCGAGCAACTGATTCAAACATTTTCTTATATGCTTCACTATTGGCTGCATTAAAAGGGATAGCATTCAAATAAAAAAATAGAGCAATGTCCTGACATGCTTCCTCCCTCAAATCCTTCTTAAAGATCTTGTTGATTGTCATTTGAGAGCTAACTTTTCTCTTGAAAAGATTTTGACTACCAATATCACCACCTTCTAATTGAGCAGCAAAACTACTACCTATTCCTTCAATGTCACCGGATTTTTTTAGGAGATTTTGTTGCAATGATGAAACAATACCCAACATTTCTTTTTTAACATCTTCAGGTACCGATCTACATGCCCCAACATCTTTGGATGTTCCTGCTAAATGATGTTTCAAACGATAATCCCCTCCTGTAAATGTCTTTTCACAAAATTTGCACCTGACTTTTCTTGCATCCCCATCAACAGAAACATCATACTTCCATGCCACATCAGTTTTCATTCCAGCGGCTTTTTTATGCAATTTTCGTGGTGGTTCATTTCCTTGAATTCCTTCTCCTGATGCCATTTTTTCTTCAATAGTTTCAAACAAATACTAATAAAAATAAGAAATTAAATGAGAAAAAAATTAGTGAAGGAAGAAAAGAATTTAAAAACGGAATTAGTTGAATAAATATAAAAGAAAGGTTAAATTATTCAATTTTATTGATTTGATATTAAATTAAAAAAAATTATATTTATTTAGGATTTAACATCAAAAAATAAAAAAAAATCATTGAATTACTATATTTATTTAGGATTGAATTTTTAAAAAAAATTAACATATTTCACTATTTTTTAAAATTCTTAAAAAAAATTATATAATGCTTAATTAATAAAGAAAAAATAACAATACTTCAAAAGTAATACATTAGTTATTTAAAAAAGAAAAATTTTTAATTTTTAAATCATAGAATTAATATATTTATAAAGCAAAAAGTTAAAGAAAAAATTATGTAAAAAAAATTAAATACATTATTAATGGTGAGAATGGAGACATTCATATTTTTAAATATGTTTGAAACTTAAAATTAAAAGAAAAGAAAGAAATTAAAATATTTTTAAAAGTTAAAAGTTAAAAAAGAAAAAACACAACAGGTAATGTATAAAACTGTAGATGTAAAAAAAAAAAAAGAAGATAATAATTATATACTTAAATCATAAAAGAAAAAAGAAAAAAGAAATAATATAATAAATAAAAGAAAGGTCGAGAAGTGCACAAGCCACAAAGATCAGTGTTGTTCTTCTTCTGTTGCTGCGGTTCCGTTTCTTGTTTTCTTCTTCTCGGTTCTGTTTTCTTCTTCTACGTTTCTGCTCTTCGCGGTTCCGTCTCCGGTCTTCTGTCGCTATCGTGCGTCTGACTCCGTGTTGTTCTTCTTCTGTTGTTGTCGACTGCGGTACTGCGTTCTTCTTCTTCTTCTACTGCAAATAAGTGTTCTTCTGGTGCTGCGGACTCGCGGATGCAATAATATAAATAGGAAGTAGAAATTAGGGTTTTTCTGTCGAAGATCTTCAGGTGCAATTTGTTCTTTATTTTTTCGAATTGTGAAAGATCGAAGATCCCACGAATCACGCGGAAGATCGCGATTTTACTTCGATCTTATTCTGCCCCGATTATGCATCCGATTTAGCATGAAATTTTTCCGCAAACCGTAAAATCGTGAGATTTCACGCGTTGGGTCGCGATTTTAACAACACTACGTCCGACTTCGTGCTGTTCTTCTTCTATTGCTGTCGAATGCGATACTGCGTTCTTCTTCTTCTTCTTCTACTGCATATAAGTGTTCTTCTGGTGCTGCGGACTCGCGGATGCAATAATATAAATAGGAAGAAGAAATTAGGGTTTTTCTGTCGAAGATTTTCAGGTGCGATTTGTTCTTTATTTTTTCGAATCGTGAAAGATCGAAGATCCCACGAATCACGCGGAAGATCGCGATTTTACTCCCATCTTATTCCGCCCCGATTATGCATCCGATTCAGCACGGAATTTTTCTGCAAACCGTAAAATCGTGCGATTTCACGCGTTGGGTCATGATTTTAACAACACTGTCATATACATTTTCATCATTTTTCAAAAAAAATAATCATCATGTAAATACATCCAATTTTTACCGAGATGAGGGACAAAGGCAATATATAGGACTTTCATGCCCAATATTTTTTCACGATGATTACAACATGGATCTAATAATAATCGTCTCAATTTTTCGACATCAGGACCAGGCATAAGAAGATCGTATACATATTTCATCATTTGTCGAAAAAATTAATCATCATGTAAATACAACCAATCTTTACTGACTAGAGGGACAAAGGCAAATATATAGGACTTTCATGTCCTATATTTTTTCACGATGAATACAACATGTATCTAATTATAACCGTCTATATTTTTTGACATCAAGATCAGACATAAGAAGATCGTATACCTCATTCATCATATGTCGAAAAAATAATCATCATGTAAATACAACCAATTTTTTCCGAGATGAGGGACAAGCAAATATGTAGGACTTTCATCCCCATATTTTTTCACGATGAATACAAAATGCATCTAATAATAACCGTCTCAATTTTTCGACATCGGGATAAGGCATAAGAAGATCGTATACCTCTTTCATCATTTGTCGAAAAAAATAATCATCATGTACAAACAACCAAGTTTTACTGAGATGAGGGACAAAGACAATATATAGGACTTTTATTACCTATATTTTTTCACGATGAATACAACATACATCTAATAATAATTGTCTGAATTTTTCGACATCAGGATGAGGCATAAGAAAATTGTATACCTCTTTCATCATTTTTCGAAAAAAATAATCATGTAAATACAACCAAGTTTTACCGAAATGAGGGACAAAGACAAATATATAGGACTTTTATGACCTATATTTTTTCATGATGAATACAACATGCATCTAATAATAATCGTCTCAATTTTTTGACTTCAAGATCAGGGATAAGAAGATCGTATACCTTTTCATCATTTTTCGAAAAAAATAATCATGTAAATACATCCAATTTTTACAGAGATAAGGGACAGGAAAATATATAGAACTTTCATGCCCTATATTTTTTCACGATGAATACAACATGCATTTAATAATAACCGTATCAATTTTTCGACATCAGGACCAGGCATAAGAAGTTCCTATACCTCTTGCATCATTTGTCGAAAAAAATAATTATCATGTAAATACAACCAATTTTTATCGAGATTAGGCACAAACGCAAATATAAAGGACTTTCATGCCCTATATTTTTTCACGATGAATACAACATGCATTTAATAATAACCGTCTCAATTTTTTGAAATCAGGATCAGGTATACGACTTTTGTGACCTATATTTTTTCACGATGAATACAACATGCATCTATTAATAACCGTCTCAATTTTCAACATCAGCATGAGGCATAAGAAGATCGTATACCTCTTTCATCATTTGTCGAAAAAAATAATCATCATGTAAATACAACCACTTTTTACCGAGATGAGGGACAAAGGCAATATATAGGACTTTCCTGCCCTATATTTTTTCACGATGATTACAACATGCATCTAATAATAATCGTCTCAGTTTTTCGACATCAGGATCAGGTATAAGAAGATCGTATACCTATTTCATCATTTGTAGAAAAAAAATAATCATCATGTAAATACAACTAATTTTTACCGAGATGAGGGACAGGCAATTATATAGGACTCTCATGACCTATATTTTTTCACGATGAATAAAACATGCATCTAAAAATAACCATCTCAATTTTTTGACATCAAGATCAGGCATAAGAAGATCGTATATTTCTTTCATCATTTGTCAAAAGAAATAACCATCATGTACATACAACCAAGTTTTACCGAGATCAGGGACAAAGGGAATATATAAGACTTTTATGACCTATAGTTTTTCTCGATGAATACAACATACATCAAATAATAATCGTCTCAATTTTTCGACATCAGGATCAGACATAAGAAGATCCTATATCTCTTTCATCATTTGTCAAAAAAAAATAATCATCATGTACATACAACCATGTTTTACCGAGATGAGGGACAAAGGCAATATATAGGACTTTTATGACCTATATTTTTTCACGATTAATACAACATGCATCTAATAATAAGCGTCTTAATTTTTCGACATCAGGATGAAGAATAAGAAAATTGTATACCTCTTTCATGATATGTCGAAAAAAATAATCATGTAAATACATCAAATTTTTACCGAGATAAGGGACAGGAAAATATATAGAACTTTCATGCCCTATATTTTTTCACGATCAATACAACATGCATCTAATAATAACCGTCTCAATTTTTCGACATCAGGACCAGACATAAGAAGTTGGTATACCTCTTGCATCATTTGTCGAAAAAAATAATGATCATGTAAATACAACCAATTTTTACCGAGATAAGGATCAAATGCAACTATAAAGGATTTTCATGTCCTATATTTTTTCACGATGAATACAACATGCATCTAATAATAACCGTCTCCATTTTTCGACATCTCAGGATTAGACATAAGAAGATCGTATACCTATTTCATCATTTGTAAAAAAAATGATCATCATGTAAATACAATCAAGTTTTACAGAGATGAGGGGCAAAGGCAATATATTGGACTTTCATACCCTATATTTTGTCACGATGAATACAATATGCAACTATTAATAACCGTCTCAAATTTTCGACATCAGGATCAAGCAAAAGAAGATTGTATACCTCTTTTACTATTTGTCGAAAAAAATAATCATCATGTAAATACAATAAATCTTTACCGAGATGAGGGATAAAGGCAAATATATAGGGCTTTCATGCCCTATATTTTATCACAATGAATACAACATTCGTCTAATAATAATCGTCTCAATTTTTCGACATCAGGATCAGGCATAAGATTATCGTATACCTCTTTCATAATTTGTTAAAAAAATAATCATCATGTAAACACAACTAATTTTTACCAAGATGAGGGACAAAGACAAATATATTGGACTCTCATGCCCTATATTTTTTCATGATGAATATAACATGCAAACCGTCTCAATTTTTCGACATCAGGACGAGGCATAAGAAGATCGTATATCTCTTTCATTATTTGTCGAAAAAAAATAATCACCATGTAAATACAACCAAGTTTTACCGAGATGAAGGACAATGACAAATATATAAGACTTTCATACCCTATATTTTTTCACGATGAATACAACATGCATCTAATAATAACCGTCTAAATTTTTCGACATCAGGATCAGGCATAAGAGGATCGTATACCTCTTTCATCATTTGTCGACAACAATAATCATCTTGTAAATATAAGCAATTTTTACCGAGATGAGGGACAAAGACAAATATATAGGACTTTCATGTCCTATATTTTTTCACAATGAATACAACATGTATATAATAATAATCGTCTCAATTTTCCGACATCAGGATCAGGCATAAGAAGATCGTATACCTCTTTCATCATTTGTCAAAAAAAATAATCATGTAAATACAACCAATTTTT